TGTTTTGGTACGACTTCAGCACACTGAGGTCTAAACCTCAACAAGAAAGAAATCACCATTCTCCTGTCTTTCCATCCATCCACTGCATCAACAGCCATTCACACTCACATGTACAGATAATCTGGATTCTCCAGCCAATCAAATCCCTGATCTGCAAATATTTGGACTGTGGTTGAAAACTGCAGTAACTGGAGGAGCTTTATATACTGTAGTAGTATCAAACTAACAAGAACAAACTGATCTTCTTGTTGTACATTTGCCTCTGTGTTGCAATAATTGACAATATTGATGAAATATACATATAAGTTACATGATCATCAACATTGAATATATTTGTGTTTCCAAATAAAATAGAATTAATTCAGTGTGACAGAATAACAAACCCAGGTGCTGTAACAGTGAGTATTTGCCACTACAGTTCTTTTATGTACATTTATACATATTTACCAAGAAGCCTTGTCTGCAGTGAAATGTCTTTAGACATCGTTTTTCACTTCAGTTTCCCTGGAGACGAGTCAACACGCCTTTTTCTACAGCCTTATTAGCATCAGAGAGCATCTTCAGAGAGAACTTCCTTCTCCGCCCACCAGAGGATCGAGTGCTAATATCTCCACTGTAGCTGTCTTCACCTCACCCAGGAGGGCGAGCTGGCTGTACAGAGTGTGTCCGTAGAAGGAAACCAGCAATAAAGTCCTTTCACTAAATCTGAAATACTGTGTGACACCTGGTTGTCAGGGAGGATTTATCTGTCCCCGGGACAGCGTCTCTGTGCTGACCTCAGGCTCTGCTGATGTCTGTGCCCCCAGGGGCTCTGGCTCACGGCCAACTGGTCTCCCTTCACATGGTTTTCATTGCCTAACACTCACACCACGCGCCTGCTCTGCTTTTATGAAGGGGGAATAACGGTGGACGTGTTGAGTCTGGCTTCACATGGACTGTCATCAGGATAGGGCAGGGTTGGGCTGAAATCGCGTGAGAACGGTGGGACGTGGATTACGTGTGACTTCATGTTTTGATGGTGACATATGCCATATGGTCCCCAGGTAGCCTGGAAGACCTGGGAAATCAAGGACTGATTTTCAAGTCAAAGAACAGCAGGTTTTTAGTATTCTTGGATTGTGGATTTTTTTTTTTTTTTTGGATCGTGGGCTGTCTTGGAATCTAACCCCCGCGATAGATGAGGGACCACTGTATATGTTAAAATGCCTTAAAAAGAAACAAATCAATTTGTCCAAAATGTCAAACATCACAACTATGAAATATACAAAACACAAAGTAAATCTGTGGTCAACTCATCTGCTGAAAAAACGCCCCAAAAAAGTCCCTGGAAAATACTTTCAAGAAAAAAGAGTGGGAACTCTGAAAAAGTTCATCACAGATCCACATGTCATTTCTCAACTCTGTTCTTCTTCTTTTTTTTTTCACTTTTCTAGGAATGACCTTAAGGCCAGACAGGCCCGCTGCTTCACCAGATACAACTCAGTCCAGACCCAGAATAAAACAAATCGACATCCCTATAATCTTCTCGCCGCCGCCGTCCAGCCCCAGACAAACTCACACTCCCATCAAACCAGTGCAGCCCAACACGCAAACAGTCAGGATCAGCTCCCCGAGTCAGCCAGCCAGCCCTCAGCTTCCAGGACACTCCCCTCTGCCCGCGGAACCCAGAAGGCCCGTGGTGGAGACCGGAGAGGCCGGACCTCCAGGCTACATGCGCAGGGTGACCGTGAGGAGAGGCTCCGAGGACTCCACCTCTGAGCCAGTCAAAGGCTTCGCTGGAGCCCCAGGTGGGTTTGGCTCCAAGTTTATCATTCTTACATACACTGTGTACTGGCTGTTTCTCACATGTGACTATAATCTGTCATTATGCGTCCATGGAAGGATAAACATTTGCAGTTTCAGAGACCAAAAATGGATTTGGCCAAACCCAAATTATAAGCCACAGATTACAGTGTGAGTACAAATAAAATACCAAAGTAGATTTGTTTTGATTGTCACAAGGGTCCACCTTTTAGAAAACCGACAGAAACAAATCAGTAGCTGTTGTTTCCCAGCATCCTCTACAGCAGTGTTTTCCAAACTTTTTGTTGGAAAACACAATGCGAGACAACCCCAAAAAAAAAACAACTCTCTTGCGACCCAGTCTATGGGAAATAATGCTCTACATCTCCTTCGAAACGATCAACTTTGTCACATTTTAGAAGATATTTTTGCCCTCTAGATGGATCCGCCCCTCACTTTGGAAACCACTGGTAAAGATCTTTCGTCCTTAACGACTGTTTTTCTAATGTTATCTATGAATCAGAGTCAGTGTCAAACTCCAGGCACCGCTCGGTTCACGACACCTCTCCTGTGTCCCGTTCCTCAGTGACTGTGCAGTAGGAGCTGCGTAAGAAAACATCTGCAGTTCGTTTGCTCCAGTGACGCTGGTGTGTCACGTGACGTCTAATTAACCACACTGTCTACTCACAGAGTCTATGAATGAATGAAGAACGGAGCTGGAATCCATCATCACTGCAGTTACAAGAATATTTCTATGACACTGGGATTACTGTACGTCTGTAGTACATGTGTTCATGGGGTTGTCGTCCCAGTTCCAGTACTTGGATGAGAGCATGAGTTTAGACATGGAGAGCACAAATAAAGCTCCACCCTCTTTGTTCTTCTTCTTTTTTTTTTTTTTTTTTTTTTGTCATCATCACATAAATTCCACACCAAATGCCATTTTAACCAGCACGGCCTCAAATTGGACGGATGAGAAAACAGATATTCTCAGATTTATCCAGCTCTGGATTTAATTATCCACACCACATATATTAAAGGGCAATTAAGGAAAACAAACAACAATGCGCTTTGCTTGTGTTTTCTCATGAGTGTGTTTTGGCCACAGGGTATCTGAGAAGTTATTGTGCCGTTAACACTCACTGATTTTGAAAGAGACTTAGGTGTACCCAAAGTATGGGGCGGGGGCCTCCTTAGGGGCGCCGAGGGCAGCAACAAGGCAAATGAATATATTTCCATGGAATCTTTCTTAATTTGTGCCACAGAGGGATATATTTTAAATGCATGTAATATTATGAGCGCGCTCATGGACGCCGTCCCTCTGTGTTTTGCTGCAGAGTTTAGATGAAAAGCCAAACAACTGCCTGCAGTGAAACCGTCTCCTCACATCATCCTACAACCCTGTGTTTTCCCCCTATTTGTTTCTTCACAGGCTATCCTGCTCTGCACCCCGTGTCTTTCAAGCCCCAATCAGCCAGACGTGCAGGTACGGTAACAGTTCATTACTGAGTTACACTGCACACATCTGAAGGCGCTCGCATTCCACACCACATCAGTGTTTATAACAAAAGGGAAGAAAGAAAGAAAAAAAAGGCTGTGAATAATTTGTAGCTTCAGAGTGAAGACGAGTGGGAACTGGATCTGCTCAGTTAAAGGCTGTGTGGGTGGAGAGAGGAAGTGTTCCTGTCTGACTGTGGGCAAAAATAAAGCTATGGCTGGATCTGCAGAACAAACGTCGCATCACGTTAAAGGAAACTGTGTTATTGACATGGAAGACGGCTGCATTATTGTCAGCCCACTTCCACCGCCTGACTTTAATTTTCACACAGCCACATAATTATGAATGAGGCAGCTATATATACACACACACACACACACACACTTGTGTCTCCTGTTCAGCTCATTCTCAGCCCTCAGAGAAAGAAGTAACACCTTTATTTTGTACCTCACAGTTTCTATAGCAGCCAAGCTGCCATGGAACCCTCTGCATCACAGACCAGTTGAATCTCCAGGTAAACGTTAATGTAAAGATCAATTTTGTCTTGATTTATTATTCTTCATATTAATCGTTTCAGAAGTCATTAACGAACTGATGAATGTCTAATTGTTCGCTTCAGTTTCAGTGGACAACAGTGCCTTTGCCGATCCCTTCTCCTTCTCTGCTGGACTCACACATCAGCCCTTCTTCTCTGGAGACTTCGGTTTCATCAAATTTAACAAGGTGTTCGTCAACGACGGTGGATACTACAGTCCTCACTCAGGTGTGGGATACACACACACACACACAAACGCAAACACAACAACTTTTCCAGTGTTTTTTTTTTTTACCTAATAACCTGATCCTAATTCCCATCCAAATTACAAATCTTGACCTAATTATTACCTATTCAATCAGCAGGGAAATCACCTTGAACTCTTTACAGCCTCAACCGGAATTATAATTTCTTTAAGTGGAAAAAAATGCCGACTTGCGTGTGAAGAAACAGGTGACTCTCCGGGCCTCAGCTGCACATGAAAGTGTCAAAGCCATAATTAAAAAAGGAGCAAAGGCTGATATTATCTGCTGTGATCGTCTGGAACCATAAACATTGCTCAATACACACCTGTGAAGATGTGTCACACAAATCAGAGAGATTTAATCCCCTGAGTAATCCACCTCACAGACTGTCTGCAGGTGTCGTTCACAAAGACTGAGTGTCATGAGCCGCAGACGACGCCAGGACAGTCATGGCTACTGTTTGAATTCACAGACCAATACTAAAAAAAAAAAAAAAAGTCAAACCATGGCAGGATTTGGATCTGAAACCCTGATCCTTTGATTTTAAAGCGTACACCACCTGATACTCCCTGATGGTCTTCTTTTCAGGTACTGACTGGGCCTGACCCAGATCAGATGAGACTGGATGTTTTTCAGGGTGGTTTGGCCACAATTCCAAAACCGCTTTTATAAGTGTTAGGATTTGTATAGAGATAAACATATCTGTCTGTCCTCCCCAGGAATCTTCACCGTACCCTGGGAGGGCCGATACCTGATCTCAGGTCTCCTGACAGCCAGGCAGGGTGAGTGTGTAGAAGCCATCCTCTCAGTGTCCGACCGCAGTGTGCAGAAGCTGCAGACCTCCTCTGGGACAGCTCCTGGTCAGGACTCTACCGGTGGTCCGTGCTCCTGCGGTGGATCGGTGTCCTTCAGCGTGATCCTGCCTCTCAGGGAAGGAGACCGGGTGGGACTGGTTAGGACCAGGGGACGCTTGGCCAGCACTGAGGCCGGAGAGGTCCTCTCCACCTACAGCGCTGTGTACATGTACTCGAAGAAGGCGGAACGATAGCCGGAGCTCAAGGGAGCAAGGACTAGTTTGTTCAAAGACTATTGGACTGGACGAAGGTTGAAGAAACCTCCTGAAGTTTCCACTCCTGAAGTGATGTGATGTGATGCAGCATTCTACTACGCAGTGCCACGGTGTGAAGATCCTCAGTTAAGCCCAAACATTGCCTTCTGTAAACCATAATATATTTATCAACACATCTTTTTTATCTATTGTGAATGTCTTTGTAAAAGTGTCTTTAAATTAATAAAACCCATATCAAAAAATGACATCATTGAAAAATAAACCTTATAAATAAAGTTTCATATGTCCAATGACAACATTCAGTGGCCCACAACTGAAAAGACGGGAGCCAATCACAGGGCAAGACACACCTGGGACAGTTCTTCAGTCAGACATCCATTCACACCGTTGGTCAGTTTGTATTTTGGACTCACAAGACTGAAAACACACGTCCTACTGTAAGGTAAGAGCTCTCAGAGACATCAGCACCTAGTGGCTGGAGGACAGAACTCCCCGCTGCTCTGAGGACATGATTGAATGCAGCACACACTGTAGTTGGTCTAATACCTGCCAGCAGTTGACCTGAGTGTGTTTAAATTACAGACTCCAACTCTTTGTGACATGTTCACCAAAATCATCAGAATGTCACATCCAGTTTGATGACATCATAGTAAGAGAACCTCCTAATGCACACGTGGCTAACACAGACACAGACACAGACACAGACACAGACACAGACACAGACACAGACACAGAGAAGGTGTGGGCAACATGAGACAGGATTCACTGTTTTTTTTTCCCAGTTAGAAACTTTATTTCATACAAATTTGACCACAAGCCTTAATAACATTGTTAGCTCTTTATAGGCATGGATTTCTTTTTTCTCTATACAATGGATTTTATTTCAATGTCCAGCGTAGATCGAACCACATTTCCATACAAATCAAACACAGCATACACTGACGGTATCACTGTTGGTCGAATACATTAAAAACAATTATGCATAACACAAAACCAATAGGAATTAAAATAAGATAATAAAACAAAAGGCATCGACAGACAGAAGAATGAGAAGCAGTTTATACTGTACTGTATACCTGAACACTCTCTACAGCAGGTGAGCCCTGACGACAAACATTATTTACCAGGTGTCGTGGGATCGTAGAGGACGAAGTGTGATTTTTCCACACAAATGCTTCACTTTCATAGAAAGAATGGAATTTGTTTTGTTAATTAGACCATACATGTTCCTCTGACTCCACGAAACTTCATAGAAAACGAGCAAGGCAAGCATCAGAATCATAACAGATGAGTCGGTGCCACAGCATGAACGCACATACACTTAAGCTAAATCATAACAGCTAACAGCTACTCACTAACGCCTCATTTTTGTGCTTATTTTTTTTATTCCACATATCTCCATCTTTTCAGTCTCATAGCAAATATTTCCTCCCTACTCTGATCACACTCGTGCCGATGTGCCATTCAAGTCATTAGGTGGTGCTAAAGCTCCTAATCATGCACATAATACAAAAAAGTAATGGAAAAAAAATACTAAGTATTTCCTGTTTATGTTCAAACACGACTTCAACTCAAGAGGCACAGTATCAGCATCAGTCTTGTCTCTAACAACACACACACACACACACACTGCAGCCTGCATTCCATTTATGCTGAGTACTAACTAAACTGTAGCAGCTCCACACAGTCACATCATAGAATACGGAGGTATTCTGCTGTAGTTACATACACTGGCCGACTGTCTGCACAGACGGAGTGGAAGAAGAGTGTGAGCGCTCTTACTTCTCTGCGCAGCTCAGACAAAGTGCATTGGTTTTGGATGTCACTGAGTGACGACAGAACAACAGCATCACTCAGTGACATCATCCTACAGTCAATCCCACTTCTACTGATCCTTTTCGGAGTTACCGGGTTAGGCAGGGGTGAATTCAAACGGCATTCATTCACATCACATTCACACCAGGAGTAAACAATTAGCCTGAAGCTGCATGTTTTTCAGATGGTGGGTGAAAACCCACGCACACTGGGAGAACATGCAAACTTCATGCAGAAAGAAAAGGTGATCCTCTGAGCATCACCACCAGGCCAACATCCTACAGTCAAACAGAAATCCTTCATTTTTAGCTCTTCTTTGATTTCATTTCCTCGTTTTTTTTTTTTTTAAACACAAAAGCTGCAAGTTTAGATTTATCAATGAATGTGTCAATGACTCGAGCTTCACTGTAAAAACAAACAAAAACAATGTTAAACATGAAAAAACCACAGAGTCCATACAAGGCCGAGCTGGTACTGTTAAGTGCGTGTTAAATCATGAGACCTAAACATACAAAGTTTATCAATAGCCATTCCTTTTTCAGACACATTGCCAAAATTAATAACTTAAACTTCAATTTAATTACAATAAATAATGACTGCACGGTTGACAAAAACTTCTATAACTTCTATAACAGAACAAGCATTGTAATAGCTAGACAATATAACGGGAAGCTGCTTCATCTGGTTTTTTTTTTTTTTTTTTTCACATTGGCGAAATAATTCCTAGGTTCAACCTTGAATAACAACACAGTTCCACAGCTTTTCAGTTCTCCAGGGAACGAGAAGGAATCTGAAATGTGTTGGGTTCATAGTACCGAGCTAATAACTGCAATTTGTATGCAGTTCGCGCATCTGAATTAGCATAATGTGGTAGCTCTTCAGCTAGTCCACAGCCAGCTGCTGGAGAATAATGTTGGTGGAATATGTTACCTGCCAGCCAGTATCACTTTCACTTTTTTTTTTTTCACCAACTCAAAAGTGAAGCCCATTTATTAAGGCAGTTTAGCCAAAGCTAAAGTTGCTGGTACCAGCTACTGTAGCACTAGCTCAGTGTGTTAACCTTCCTTCTTGTTTCCATATTTTATCCCAGAGAATGTTCCCACTTTCTTGGAGAATCTCAAAATATCTCAAAAACAATATATCTCATGCTAGTGCAACAGGCCAGATCATCTACTGAGTTACAGGGCAGAAAACAAAAACCTGTGTACGTCAAATATCCCTGACTAATGATGAGGATTTTAGAGAACAAACTAAAATAATCTACCTCCAGGGCGATGAGTAAATACAGATAATGATCATCCACTTGGCAGTTGGACTAATAAATGGGATTTTGCAGCGGTTACTCGTGAGAACGTTTGTTCAGAGATCACCTCTACTCTACGGAGCTTCTTATACTAATGGTCCGACCCCTGTCACGGAGTCACACTCGCTGCTGCAGTGTGAGTCCGTGTCTCCATTCTAGTCCATTCCTGGAGATGCATTTGAATGCAAAGTCTTGCCTGTATATACACACACACATACTATACAGTAGTGCATCAGAGCAGCTCCTCCAGGTTGATGTCCAGCAGGGGCTGCCTCCAGTAACAGAAGGAGCTGTACTCAGGCAGGACAAAGGCCTCGTTCTGCTCTTTGCTCAACAGAGGGAACACGTGCTCCACCAGCTCACTGAGTCGGCCGTAACTGTGACATCACAAGGACAGAGGATACACAGTGAAGTGTGTATGAAGAAAGGCCACAAAGGGTGGCAGAAGTGTCCTATTTCATATCCGACTATTTAATTTTTACTTGTTTTTTTTAAAATTCATACAAAACTGCTATTGTCAAAGGACAAAGGAAACATAAATAAAAATAATCAAGCCCCCATTTGTTTGTACGGCCACGCTATTTGCAGTTTAATGTTGTGCTCTAAATACTCAAAAAAAGAAAAAGAAAAGCGCCAAAATATTTGGGACAAAGTAAACCCGGCGGACACCTTAGTCAAATACCAACGACAGAAGAGGGAGAAACTTACGAGGACTTGTTGCCCTTGGTCTGCTCCTGGATCAGCTCTCCCTTGGGGTTGACTGTGAAGATCCTACAAACAGGAACTCCGACCTCTTTATAGGCAAAAACATCCTGTAAGCAGACATGAGGTTTAAATGAGCCGTGTTCACAAAATCACAGGGCACCACAAAAGGATGTGCAACCAGCTGTGTGTTTCTCCTCTGTGTTACGAGTATTGAACCTAAAGACTTTTGACATTCAGGTGGCGTCAGTGTGTGAGCACCAGAATGGTGAACACGATTCACCTCTATGGAGTTGGGTTTTTTTTTACCTTTCTCTGAATAGATACAACGTTAAGGTAGCAGTCGGCATGCACCTGTAGAGTTTATATAGCTTTACTTCAAATGTAAAATGTCATCTGTCAATTTCCTTCCAGAGTGTGAGGACAAGTCAAGTGACAAGTGATGAAGACAGATCTTCAGGTGTGACTAATAATTATTGATCGATTGTTAAGTGTCATGTAGGAGGTTTTTTTTGTTGTTGTTTTTGGTTCGTTCCGTGTGTAATGGTAAGTGTGAGAGACAGACAGTGATTCATCCAGTTTGTGTTTACACAGCTGAAGACTAGTTGCTGTGCTTAGCTTGAAGCCCCTTCCAGAGCAACAGCATCATGGGATCATATTCTTCCCGTTGACCTCAGCTCTGGTTCAGCCCAGTACCGATTTCATCGCTTTATGCAACATCTGTGCAACACTGGCAACGATCATGTTACGTTGACCTTAGATACTGTCAATATTTTACAAAGTTCTGGAAAAAGAGGCTGAAGGACATGTCAAAGTGGAGTGTTGTAATGTCCTGATATGTAACATCTTCAGCTCGGCATCCGTTCACTCACATTAATTCTGTTCCCAAAGGCGGCGTAGAATGGCTGCTTGTTGTGCTGGAACAAGTTCTTGATGTCTGTAAGGCATTCAATCTTGAAGATCTCTGGCTTCTTCTCGATTACCTCCCTGATGAAACACACAGTTTGGTTGGATGGAGGTCAAGACACACGGCACGTTTTTTGTGAGGAGTTAAAATCGTGGTATAAATAGTTTTACAATCCTGTTTGGGACTTTCCATTAATTTAATTATTTAGAAATGTGGTTTTTAGCCTGTTTCCTGTGAGCTGTTACAGGAGGGTCCACCACCCAGTGACCAGGGAATTTAAGGGCTTCAGCCCCGTGTCTGACATTGATTCTGGACTTAAACAGCAGAATGAAGCCTTTGTTTTACTGGTTGTGTGTATTTAGTGCATATTTGACATTGGAGGAGGAGCTGGGCATAGTCATATTCAGGATGCCAAGAAGCCACTGACATTTATGACCACAGACATGTACAGCAATAGCAGTATGCATACTGTAATTTATGGTTAATTAAATCTACTTTAGCACCCCCGCTCACAGGCGTAGTCAATAAAGACAGTCAGTGCAACAGTGTCTCCAAGTTAAATTATTCAGTGAATTTAAAAAAAAAAACTCATTTCACACATCATCTCATTGTCACTTGAAATTAGCTTTGAGATTTCTGTAGCCCCATCTGTATTAAACACAGACACAAATACAAACACACACAAATACACACTGATCTGTGAGCTGCCATTATCAACTCATCAATGAGAGGAAATCATTAACTTGTTAAAGAGAATTTAGTGAGCCTTAATTTTCATGCACGTACCTGTGGAAGGCAGAGAAAAGGCTGCTGGGAGACAGCATGAGGGGTCCACGAGGCAGAATGGTGCCCCCATCATTGACCCACTGCAGGTAGCCCCTCGTCATGTCTGCCATGCCAATAGCCCGGGCTGAGCAGTATAGAAACTTGTAGCCGTTTCTGCCGGTGAAGATGAGCAGTGTTAGTTAATGGGTTTTTTTTCCCTTTTCTTCTCAGATCATTTTTATATCATGACCATCGTTAGCAACTGCTAAGAATAGAACTTTAATTAGATCAGTGATACTGGACATGTTTTAATGTGCAAAAGTGCAGACAATTTAATCATTTCACTGAGAAAAGATTCTGCATATTATCACTGCCCACGGTCACTGAAGCCCATTTCCTCCAGGAGGAATAAATGTTCTATTCTCCACATGACTGCAGCAGCAAAGGCAGGTCCAGATTTAAGTGTTGGACAAAAGTGGCTCAACAACAAACTGCCTTTCTTTTCAAAAGTTATGCTGGTGCTGAGTCATTCACCTCAGAGCGACCCACGCAACACCGGCTCCATGGGGAGGCCCCGAGAATCAAATCCAAACAGTGTTAATCTCTGACCGTCCAGGCATCTGTCCTCTGTGATTAATCAGTGGTTTTTTGTTTTGTTTTTCCTTTTTTCATGCACTTACTCAGCGACTGAGTGGTAAAGCTTGGCAACGCCTTGGTGGGTCCAGTCCTTCCCCAACTGTGGTAGGATCTGTCCAAACACGTCTGACCTAAAACATAACAAAACAAATTAGAAATAGAAATGACAAAGAGAAAGAGGGGGAGATCAACATCTGCCACATCACTCACAAACAGACGAAAAAATAAATACAGCAAAGACTTCTACGAAGAAAAGAGGAATAAAAGCTGAAGTTACAGAATATTGAATATAATATTCTGTTGTCCCAGTATGAGGATTACTCCCTTAAATGGGGGTGATGACTGCCTCAATCTCAGCTTGAGTGGGAATGTGTGTGTGCGCCCACTTTTGGCCTAAAATGTAAATGAGCTCATTATATCACTTGCTACTCTTAGCGGTGTTAGCCTCTGAAGATCACATATCACAGGTTGGCCTAAAGTCACAGAGATAATAGGCTTCCGTCACTGTGGACCTGTCTGATGTAGACCACCTCTTTACCTCATAGAGGGTGTTAAAAGGGAGCAGACACCGTTATTGTGTCAGATGGGACAGATGTGGCCTACGGCTCATTTAAAAAAGGCCTTAAATGAAGGTTTTGCCATGCCACATGAACTTGAAGTCGACCTTAACCATTATTACTGTGGACTGATTTGTGATTCATTAAGCACATTTTATAATTTGATAAAGCTCACATTACCACTTGGGGTTGTATTTCACCTGAATTCTGGGATTATATTTCTGAATATATTTCCTACACTTGGCCTAGTAGCAGCTGTAATACCAACAATTTCCTCTAGGGATCATTAAAATATTTCAGATGCTCATCACAAAAACTGAAATACTAATACTACATTGTAACATGTATTCCAAATAATACAGTACACTGATGTACAATGACTCTCTTGGTCCTCATGAAACACTTCACAGCTGGTAGCTTAGGCACATTTATAAATTGAAAATGAAAAGAGCTCCCAGTCTGGGACTTATCATCTGATTCAATGGCAGTTTCAGTATCTGTTAGTGCATAATGAGCTTTGAATCAACTTCAGATCGACTCTGGCCAGTTACTAGGCTACAAGCATCACACAGAACTCTGCTTTTAGCCTTCACAACATCTGTGATTTTGCCAGAAGATGAAGTGAAGGTGACATTGCTGAGGAAGAGGGTTTTTTCTTCTTCAATGCAGTTCTATCTGTTTTAGACAAAATATATAAAGATGAGACAAAAAAATGCAAAATGTATTGCACTGCTAATATTAGCATTACACAATGTCACACATGATGTGACTAAATATAACACTGCGTTGAAAGGCTGCTCAAAACATGTACACATCCATAACTTAACACTAAGAGTGCGTCATCAAAGTTTCATCTCTGCATAAGTGTATGTAAATACAGCCACCTGCCTTATGTTAATGAGAATTAAAAACTGTCTACAGGAAATAAATATGAGCAACACATCCATCGCCTTGTCTGACAACCACACACACACAGACCTAGTTATTTAACAATACAGTGCTTTATGGGCATAGACAAGCACCTCGTAATATACAGCAGACAGGAAGACATCTAAATGAAATAGTATACAGTACTTGAAAGCTACTTCACAGCAATAAAAACAGAGCTGTGCAATAACAGTAACTTCAAATGCAAACTCAAATTGATCAGAACTCCACCAAGAACTTAGGTTGTTTCAGTGTTTCCCTATTCAGTGTGTGTACTGAAACACTTGAGGACACATACTTGGTGATGGTGCCATCTATGTCCGAGACGATGACTTTATCGTCCCAGTTCCACAGGTAGATGGTGCCCTCGCAGCGGCATGTGCCCTGGTACTGAGTGGTGATGCTGAATGTCACATCATTAGGTCCATCCTTCAGTTTCAGACTGGCCTGTTGACATGGAAAAAACATGAGCAAAGTTGACAAAAATATTCAGGTCCAAAGGGACAAGAGTTTCAACAGTGTGCTTTGCTCCATTCTAACTTAGTGAAGTCTGTATACAAAGGCTGACAGAGCCCCCTACTGGGTCAAAGTGGGAAAGTTGTAAAGAGATCAAGGTTAGCCAGCAGAGGGAGCTCTGAACTACCAGTCAAGTTCAGAGACCAGATTACATAATTTGCAACACATGGTTTAGATTTTTTTTAAAAGGAAAATATTTATCAGTGATTCTGAAGACTAGTGAAATATAATTAATAAAATGAGCAGTGAAGTGAATTAATAGAGAATATTATTCTAAAACACATTATCAAAGGGAGGCCTTGGGGTCAGGAATGTACTTACTATCTGATCAGAGGAAATGCGCAGTGACTTCCTGTAAGTGTGAGAGCTGGTGTGGTGCTGACCATCTCCTGGCTGCAGCCTTTCTTGACAGGATGCAGCACTCACCTCCTTGGACTCCTCATCACTGGATGAATCTTCTGCTTTAGGCCTAAATGCACACACATCAAATATTGTCACTTTAAAATCTACAGTAGGGGTTTTGAACTTTAAATTTCAATGTAGTTTTCAATCATTGAAATGTTGTGTATTGAAGGTCTACTCTAAGTTTTGTCGTACACTTGAATCAGACAAAAGATACACTTAAAAACTGTTATCACTTACGGCAAGACCAGCTTTTCCTGAGATATGGACGTTCCTTCCTCCACCAACTGAGACTCCTCCTTGGTTTCAAGCTTGGTTTCAGACTGTTAAAACAATCAATGATTCAGAAAAAAAAATGTAATTACTGTTCCAGTGGACAAGCCGTTAAAACAACTTTGACACTTTGGTTGATGTGTCCACACCTGCTTGATTGTACTGTCCGCTCTCTTCCGCCAAAACCACCAGCGGCCTGACTTTTTTGGCATCTTCTCCTTCATCCAAGCCTCCTCCGTGTCCTTGGATAAACACATTTGTTAATGAGCCAGTTGTAAATTTCAAAGGATTCTCAACTTCAGATTATACTGTATATTCAACAAGGACTTAAGTACCTTTGGTAAGTTCTTCTGAAATGCTTGTAGACTGAGAATCAGGGGCGCAGCCAGTGTCCAGTTATAGTATCTTTAAACAGAAAAGATGTCAGGAGACAAAAAATTGACCTTCCATGATACGTCAAACTCTCACTTACCTATTTCCTATTTTCACTACCAAGTTGGGATTATCTATAATGGCTGGGTTTTCAGCAAATTCGTGATAGGTAATGATATGCTCCATGAACTTTTCTGCAAACACAGAATTGGGAAAAATTAATCAATAGATAAGAGATGAAACAACTCATTGTGGATTAACCACGACTATCTTTGATCACCACGTAGGGACTTTCTGTTCTGCACAGAAGACAACTGGTATTACTGTATACCTTTGGATATTTCTGCATTTTCTGTGAGGCCTCCGCACAAAGAGAGGGTGACGTCAGGGAGGTCACTGGCTGAGTCGGAAAGACACTCCGTCCCACTGTCGGCTGCAGCACTGCCCACTGACTGAGGGGACTGTGAACCAGAGCATATCTCGGAGTCCATCCAATGCTTAGAGGCCACCTCTGTATCACTGAAACACACAGGGAAAAAATCAATAATTCAATCAAAAGAATTTCTCTGCAAGGCTGAGAACCACAGAAGAAATGTTTTGAAATTTTACCTCTTAGGGAAATATCTTGCAGCAACGTCAGGTTCAAGAACATTCAGATCATCTAGGTAGATATCTTCAGGACCCTGGTGCTGGCTTCTTTTTGGGACTCCTGCAACAAAAACAAAAATATTATAATTTGACTTTTATAAGGTCTAATTTGAAAAGATTCATAGTGACAAAGAGGTAAAACGTGCCTTTCTTTTTAGAAGGTGAATCACTCGGATGAGTGCATGGTGTGGAGTTGACTAGGTTTGGTGACAGGACATCCAGGGGTTCTGTGGGCGTTATTGGACTTATGGATGGTTCTGTACTGACCGATGAAAGAGGACTCACTGCTGTTACAGGTGTGAGAGGGGTTCGAGGCTCAGGTTTGACAATAGTACAAGCACTGGAGCCACGGTTTTGCTTTTCAGACTTTGTGTCTGCCTCCATGGCCTCAGAACTGAGAATAACACGGAAGTGAGTGGTCTCCGAGGGAGTGATGGTCACTGTTCTCAGTGGTTCTGGTTTCTCCTTTTTAACCTGAATATTAAAAAAAAAAAAAAAAAAAGGTTTCTTTGTGACTCGTACTTGACGGCTATGCTCTCGGTAACTTGAAGAGCAATGCTTACCCTGGTTGTTTCTGGGAATTCACCCCAGGTCCACTGCATGTGGGACTCAGCCCTGAGCATACTCTCTGAAGGTCTGACAACAAGCTCAGAATCACTCTTTGGAGAAAAGGCCTGTGACAAGCCATGACTAGAGAGATACACAAGAAGAGGATAAACACACAAAAACAGACAAATAGATGCTACGTTAATAAATCATCTGTGTCGATATCTGAGTGTTGATTAATTTCACACACCTGTCATCTGCAGGCCAGTCCCCATCAGACATTGAGTAGCTGTCTAGACTGTGTCTTGCTGAGGGTAATTTTGGATCAATATCACGCATTGTGGTCATCGAAGGGGACCTAGAGAAAGATATATAAAACAAAATAATTAAATCCATGTCTACACACATGTTGGCTACAGTTTAAGAAACTGGATCTGAACAGACCTGGAGGCATGTGCTGCAGCCTCCTCATCAGAGCTCAGCTCCATCTCAAAGATCTCCTCATTTGGCCCACTATTAGACGTAGCAGGAGTTGCAGCAGCAGTTGCGTTAGCAGCAGTGACCGACATAGGCGGGGTCAGCTCCTCCCTTCGAGAGTCTCCCTTGTGCTTCCTTCTCCGTTTCTTTTTCTTTTTCGTGGCCACATTGCTGACAGCTGGTGGTCCCGGGGGGTCAGGATCTGCAGGGTCGTCCTCCAGGTCTTTTGGTGCCCTGTCCTCCACCTCTGAGATCCAGAACAGGTGACTCTCAGTAGGGATTGGGGATGTAGCCAGGTGAGCAGGGACTATTTGCTGAAGGACCAGAAAAATGGTGTTACTGCAGGACATGATGCAACGACAGAAGCAACATATTGACTTCGTAGTGTTTGAGTCTGTAGGGTAAATCACATATTCAAAGAGAGCTTTCTCTAATATATTAAATGCATGAAACAAGCTTTTATCACAGATGGTCTGTTTCAACTTTGGATTGCCTATTTTGACCACGGGGAGGACAGTCAGGCTTCCTGCCGATCAGAAAAAAAGATGCACCATCACCGTCCATATGCAGTGGGCAGGCATGGAAAAAACTGGGCTTCTGCATTGTGAAAGGACAAAATGACCCAGAACCACTTTTAACCACTCTAAACTGGAACTCAAATGAGCTTCCTCCGTTTTAAAACCAGACCAACTGCCACTGGTTACAGCACAGAAACTGTCTGTACTCGCTGAAGCTAAGAAGTGTTCCTAAACATGACAGAGCGAAACATGATTTTACTTCCTCTCAAATTTCACAGCAGACGACTAGTGAACCAAAAAGACAAATCAGGGACACACTGCACAATGGCTGAACATTCTAACCACCACATGACTTGGACTTGATGATGTTAAATAGAGACAATAATGGCTAACAAAGCAGTCATAGCAGTCACACACTCCAGCCACGTGCTGTTATTTGCACTCACAGCATTGTTTGCCTGGGCGACAGGCTGATAGCTATGGCAACAACTCACATATGGGGGGAAAAAGAACATGAAGCTGTTTACTGTAGATTCACACAACTAAATGGTTACAGCTGCTGCAAATGTTACTCACTGGGGTGGGAATGTGCAACTAATTAGGATGTTTGATTTCAACAAAACTATCTTGGATATTATCTGAAACACCAGTACTTCACCTGGCAGAGAAGTTTCATCTCATGTCTCAGACATAATTCATTTAAATTAATTCAAGAAACAAAAAAAAAAGAGAGAGAAAGAGGGAGAGAGAGAGAGAGAGACGTATTATCCATTATCCGCCTTGATGTTAGTTCCAAATGTTACAAAAAAAAATTACATTAAAAACAAGAGCAGCATTATTATTTCTAAGTGAACTTTGACCGTTAGGGTTGAGAGTTTCTTACGTTCTGTTGCTCAGATTCCTGGACAAAGAAGGCTTCTCCATTGTCACCAAGTTTCATGTGCAGTTCCACCGGCTCCCCATTCACTTCAATGTCAATCTGAAAAAAAACATAGAGCACGACTTAAGTGTTTCATTTTACAACAGTAAAGTAGGGTTTATTATGAAAACATATATATAACTGAGTCAGATATTGTCTACTTAAAGTTCCAGAGTTTTTGAAAAACCTAAAGTGTATTGCTCCTCTGGGCTTGCGTTACACAGGACCTGCCAATTGAACAGGGCCATTCATAGAAGCAGGCAAACTCCCAGTGGACCCCAGCCATTCAGAAACTTGATCCCACACAAGCAAAAACCAGGTCACGTCTGGCAGAGACTCCACAGCAGACAGATTTGATTCAAGTACTGTGCCCCAGTCTCAGAATCTGAAACCAATTCATCATTATTAATTCTGAACCAATGCCCACCTGTGGGTTGACATGAAACACTGGTCATTTTAAAAAGCTGTTGTGCTCAATAAATGCAGAAATACCTCTGACTCTTGAAATTAAGGCTGCGTGTCCAGAGCAATAATTGATTTCTTAAAGTTTCTAAAAATAAGAACAGAAAATGATGCCAAATCCATCCGAGTATTTTTATAATCAGTCTTGTTGCCAGCCAAGGGAAAAACATTTTTTTGCATGGCATTACCACAGATTTTCTTCAGTCGGGTTCATATTTTGTAACATCTTTCCAAACAGAAACACATGCATAACAGTTTGTTACAAAACAGCCCCCTTTGAGACCT